ATATTAGACATAGTTGATATAGTAGATATGTTAGTTATATCTCTCTATATAATTTATTTTATATAAATAGATAGCTTAGTTCATATAAAAAAGTAAACAGACAGAGACTTGACAAGTTAGTTTTTCAATAGTTTTAGAAACAACTGGCCTATTACGTTACATTTTAGTTTTTAGTATTTTGCCTCTTTTTTTTTCTTTTATTTTATTTTTATTATCTTACTTGTGAATAAACCTGTTATTTTATTAAATCGTTATGTGAATCTTCGTTTCATTTAATGTAACCCAACTTTATAATTTACATTCCAATTTTGCATACGTAAACAACTAATTTATGTGTGCTTTTAACAAGCCATATATTTATATAAATGATGTCTTGATATTTTATTTTTTATACAATTTCATGATATTTAAGTGTACTTTGATAATAAACTAATAATACATGGATGAAAGAAAAAAAATTTTTTATGGTTTTTTTTTACAGATGAAATGTTGAATAATGTTTACAAATAATTTATATGGAGTCTTTTCCCATTTCCACCCTTGATTCCGGTATCTATGGTGATGAGATAAGAGAGTGCAATTTGCGTGGTCACATTTGTAATAGAAACCTTATTCTCAGTAATATTTAATGCAATGAACAGATGATATAAGAAAGCGGTCACGACGGTCAACAAATTCCAATACATGACAAGGGTAAACATATCTTTTGGATAAGAATATCCAATCTTTGGGTTATTTTTTAAAATCTGCATCAATCGATACATGACGTAACCATCGATAATGATATCAATCAAGGTCAAATTACTGAAATAAAAACCGCTTTCGCTTTTCATTCCATCATAAAGAGAAGTGGGATTTTCAGAAAGTTTGTGTGGAGGAATCATCAGATAACTATATCCTAACTAGTATCAAACGAAAAGAAAGAAAAAATTTAAATTAATTGCAACATTGCAATGAATACATCATCATTTAATATCTACATGAAATCCTGCTCTAATCATAAGCAATCCAATACTCATCCACATCTCAGAATTGCTTTTCTCGTATCGTCTAAGAAGTGTCAACATAAAAGCGGCCAATGATTGCATGATGAAAATCTTAAAAATAGTTTGATAGTTAGACCACACACATTCTTTTAAAGATATGTTTAACACCAAATCAATTACGGAGCACGCCAAGCAACTAAGATTAAAAATAATCTTGAGCAAAGACAAGCTCCTTTCTCGTCCAGTGCGATAAAGAAGAACAGATTTAACGAGGTTTTGAAACGTGAGCTGAGAAAACATGAAGTGAAGAGTTAGAATAATAAGTTATAAATACATATGTGTATATATATACAGTATTTGAAAATTGACAACCAAAACATTTATGATAATTAACTAACCATGTTTAACATTCCAATCAAGAGCAAATTGAACTTAATTTCACTAGACTTATTTTCCATTTTGACGCGTTAAAATAATTAATATTTTTTGAATTTTTTTGTTCTCTTAGGTATTGGAGGAAAAAATTTTTATTTGCGACGGTTCGAATTATAACTGGTTTTTATAGTAATTGTTTTTTTTTATTTATGTTGTGGAAACATTAAATTGTTAGGAATTATCGGAGTGACAATGCCGATAGGAAACATACCAAATAGGCAATACAATTATATCACAAATAAATCTGATTGTGTAAATTTTGGAAGGATCTGCGGTTTACTTTAAGACATGATAAATAAACTATTAAAGAATTATTAATTAAAGTTGCCGGAATACCACACAGGCTGAGACTATTAAATTCGTCATTAACCTCAAGTATTAAGACATTTGTGACATCATCTTCAACGTATTCAGGTTCTTTTTCTGGACATATTGTTACATCATCATCTTCGACACTTCTAGGTTCGGTTCTTTTGGCGGTTCGATTCAAGACTTCTTGGTTCAGGATCTTGTCGTTTTCGAAAAATGCTGATTGAATTTCTTCAGTTCATGTTGGATGGCATAATTAACGGTGGTAATAAATACCGCAACAACGTCGCTTGTATTTAATTTTGTCATACTTGATATAATTGAAAATTAGAGGAATTATTGTTTTCGATACTACTCGATATATTTTTTATAATCATTTTATACTTTGTAGATTACCAAATTTGTCTTTACCCTCTAGTCACTTCGTATTACTTACTATAATATTATGATCAGATAAGATGGTAACGTCGTACATACAAGACGTTACATTGTTTAACAAACAAAAAATGTAACTATCCCTTTTTTTTGTCATTTTATTTTAAATTTAGTTACATACTAAAAAAGAAAGTTAGAATTCGATGGCGTTAATTATGAATTAAGTATTGTTTGATAATCGTTGATTTTTATAATCTTAATGTTAATGATTGTATTGAAAATCGTTTAAAAACAATACTAACTTTGTTTTCATAATCTAAAAATAGCCACCATGGTTAGGTCCAAATCGAAACGTCTATAAATTTCATTCGAAATTTTTTTTTTTATGGTTCAAATGTATCACGAAAATTTTTTTTTTTATATTTTAAAAAAAAATAATTGCTGATTGTCCTGCTAGAGACCGGAAACCGGTCCGAACCCGTGTTTCGGGTACGGTTCTCTTGGTACAGTAAATTGAAATTAAAACTTTGATCGTTAATTCTGGCAAAAATTATAAATTAATTAAATTTAGCCTCGGATTGTATTTTTATAATGAAATAAGGAAATAAAATGTCAAATTTAACTGTTGACAGTTGTTTTAAATTTATAAAGGTGAATTAAAATGTCAGAAAAAAAAAATCGGAAAAAGTGAGGTTTTAATGAAATTATAAACACAGTAAAACAATCAACAGTTGATAGTATTTTACATTAATTGTTTTGTTCTGCATCATTTACGATCCATTATTATTACATATTAGCCAATATTTCAGTTTTTCCATTATTACACTTTTCAATGAAATTTATCCAGTCCAGTCAATGCAATTAAACGCGTCAGTAAAGTATACCAACAAAAAATTTAAAGACATGGCAAACCCATCTAAATAATATTTCGTTCCATTTATTAAATATTAGCCACTGATTATTCCAGTAAATTCAGTCTCGCGTTAGTAAGTATAAAATAATTAAATCAAAAGATAACCAAGGCACAAAGCAACCAACCCACAGAATATCGGTATCACTTCATCATTTATGATTCATATTAGCCATATGTGATTGGAAAATGATAGAGATGGTGCACAAGCTTTAAGATCAAATATTCCTTGCATTTAACATTCTGACATTATTTATTTGCTATAATAACTGGCGATAGTCTTGCTGAAAACCATGCAAAGAAAGAAAGTACCCGCTTATGCAAGCTTTTTGTTTGCTTAATCAATGGTAAAATTTAACCAATAATAGCAACTCTGTGAAAAAAAAGATGGTTTGTAGATTTTTTGATTTAAATCATCACGCTCTATTTTTTTTTTTTTTTGATTGTTAAGTGGGAACGGCCTATATCACTTCCGTTAATACATGCATTTCTTATTAATATACAATATTATTGATATCTTTCCGTTATTACATAATTCAAACAATTATCCCAATGCAGTTGATACAATTGGATACGTTAATAAAAGTATATATATGAATAAATTGACAAAAAAAAATAAGGCCCAGTTTGTAAAGTATATTATACATTATACATTCATAATTTCTTTCTCTCCATCATTTCACGATCCAGAGAGTTGCCTGTAATTCCAGTTCACAGAGATTTATTCTGTTATACAATTGCATCTTTTACACCATATTTTATTAACAACATTAGCCACTGATTATAACATTATCTATTAATACATTTCCGTTATTACACGGATCTAAAAGAGTCAGTTAATGCAATAAGTCGCATAATAAAAAAAATTTAAAACAAAAAACCAAGACATTGCAAAATCAGTCCACAGAAATTTTATCTATAACATGTTCATAATACGTACACATCTCCCAATAAATTGTATTATTACGACCCAAAAGTTGTTTAGTCCAGTTAAAGAAGATTGAACGCTTAAAAGTAAAAAATGATACATAAAGCAAAAGAACTAAGAAAAAGCAAAACCAGTCCACAGGAAATTTCATAATGAATGTGTTTATATGTAATCCTCCTTTTAATATTCAAATATTTTATCTTGTCAATATATTTGAACCATAATTATTTCATGTCCGCTAAAAATTAAGGAAAACCAAACCCAATTCCAGAAAATTTCGTTATAATGTATATCTATTATACAGTTTCGTCACTTTTCCTTCATTTTGATGTTATTTATCTCTTATCTAATCAAGAAACAAAATAATTCCAAAAAAAAAAATATTTTTGGCCGAAATATTTTTATTGTAACATTGATAAAATACGTAAAAATGAATATAAATAACATATGATGAATTGGAAAATTCCTTTTTTTTTTTTTTTTTTTTTTATTATTATAATCTTTTAAATGTAAAGTTTTATTTATTTTATTTTCTATTTATGATAATTTATAACGTAAAATTTTATAAAAAAAAAAAATAAACTGTCGACACAATGATCGTGTCGATGAAATGATACTGGCGGTGAAACGTTTGTCGGTGAAATATGTCGGTGAAACATATGTCGGCCAAATGTTCCTGTCGAAGTGTTGGTCGGTAAAATAATTGGCGGTAAATAGTTTGTCGGTGAAATGAACCGAACCCATATATCTAAAGATTAACGGCAGCAAACTTTGAAAATTGTCTTATTCAAAGTGTTAGCGCATACTAATTTATTAAATAGGCATATGGACTGAAGTTCCGAAATTACAAAAACAGCAAAAGTTTTAAGTGTCGCGACTTCATAGGAATTTTGATATTGCAAAAGGTTGTGTATTTATTTTTCAAGGTAATTAAGCAAATAAAAAATTCAATCATGATATAGAGAAAACAGTTAGCTTTTTTGAAATAATTTATTATAACTTAAATATCATCGCAAGAAAAGGTACGCATAGCAAATTTTCTATGGTTAAAATTAAAATAAACACTATCGCATATTTACCTTCTCTTGTACCAAAATTAATCTGTTAAAGCGTTTGAACAAATCAGGCTTGAGCTCATAATGCATAATATTAAATTTATTTTTCGTACATGTGCACATTTACGAGGGAATGATGAGCCACGTACCATCTGATAACCTTATTGGTCACCGCACCCTACATCTTTTTATTTAACGAGAAATGCCGTCGACGCCATCTGTAGTTAAATGCTGGTTGGAGTGAGCCCTAATTAAAAGCTACGAGCCATCTAAAATGTGTCCAAGCCTCTTGCTAGACTTTAACGATCAATAGACAAGAAAAAGAATGCAAGACCAAAAGCTTCTTAATTATTGTTTATTTTAAAAACATAAATTGACAATAGGCGTTGATATTCAGAAATAACATAACCTTAATAAAAATGAATTGATCATTTGTTCGAGCGTTTTCACCGTTTCGCGTTAGACATAATTGGCATTGATTCTGAGTTCATAAATTCTCATCCTTTGAGATTATTTGGCCTATATTTATAATTCAAAACGCATTTTTAAAAAAAAAATATTTGATGAGACGCCAATTTAATATATCATTGCATGTAAGCCTTATAAATAAAACGGCATGTACATATTATTTTTTTAAAAAAATAAAATAATATTGGCGTATGTAATTTTTACGAAAAAAATAAATAGTGACGTACAACTTGATTAATTTTTATTAAGAAACATATCTATTACATACATAGTTAATAAATAAATGCGCCGCCCACCCTCAAACAAGCAACAAATTTACTAAATTATGTTTAAGAAAGACATTAACTAGCAACAAAATCAACGTCATGAAGCTAAATCTAAAAATAAATAAGAAATCCAGTAAGAAATCTAAAAATAAATAAGAAATCCAATAAAAAATTGACAAAAGTAGCTTCCAAGGAAATGAAATGCTTTAACTTACCATACTAAACTTGAAATATTCAATGTTTTTTTTTTGAATCTACAAAATTAAAGCCCCAAGCATTACAATAGCCGAAACCATTTGTAAGCCTTTACTGCCTGGCAGTGACCAAAAGCAAACGAGAGTAATCTCATCAGGATACTAATGGTGTGTCAGTATTGGGACAGGGCATCGCAGGAAATATCACTGAACGATAACGGGGTTTAACCACCCACCCGGAAGGAATAACACGTGTTGGATAAAGATAATAATGAAATATAATAAACTGAAAAAAAATATTTTCGTAATTTCGTTAGAAAGGGTAACAAAAAATAAATCACAAAAAAAAAAAAAAAAACTTACCAAAAGGATACATGATGTAGTTGGTTGTTGAATGAAGACGCTTCCAGAAATTATAATACGATCGGATTAGTTTGCATCTACAAATTTTGAAGCCCCAAGCATTACAACAGCCGAAACCATTTGTAAGCCTTTACTGCCTGGCAGTGACCAAAAGCAAACGAGAGTAATCTCATCAGAATACTAATGGTATGTCAGTATTGGGACAGGGCATCGCAGGAAATATCACTGAACGATAACGGGGTTTAACCGTCTACCCGGAAGGATGTTGTTACATATGATTGTTAAAATAATCTTAAACTAAAACGTTATATATTTTGTTATAAGAAATAAAAGAATAGACAAAAAAAAAATTTCATTTTAATGAAGACTTACACATTCGATATTTGTGTTTCCTTTTAACGATTTAAGTATTTTATGTGACAAAAAAAATTTTTGAACATTCGTGAGAATTTTTTGGTTACACCTTCAGACTTATTGGTTGGTCAAAAATCAATTACGTAACATCACGTGTCAATCGGCATACTCGTAAAAATTTCTGCGTCAAATTTCCCGTCACACCTAATGTCGTCAATTTTGTTTATTGCAAAATTTCATTTTTAGTACATTTTTTCCAGTAGCCACCGACTAAGGGTTCACAAGATTCGTATGATTGTAGTATTGTGGTTGGTTGTATCACATACTAACATATATACTGTACGAGTTGCAGCATCTTATTAATTTTTTAGGTTAGGATTGGATTTAATTAAAATT